CACCTGATCAGACAAATCTTGCATGGAGGAGGTTCCCAATAATGGCTTAACACTAAGAACCCCGGACACTATGCAGCATTCAACTCAAAAACCAAAAGGGAGCAAGGGGAAAAAATCCATGCCAGCCGTGACACAAACTCCTTGCATACATCCAAAAGAGCATCACAATGAGATGCAATGAGCATGCTTGGAAGTTCTGTCTGCTCATGCTATCCAGGTGCAATGTTTTTCGACCGTCATCATTACTTGGGTTATTCCCCATTACAGTAACTGTTACCACAAGGGGTAATAGGAATTATAATGGCCCCTTAATAAGGCCCCCTTTAAGGACAGTTACTGGGTGGGGGAATGATCCAAATCATTACCATCACCCGTCAGCTTGACGGGGGGTAGGCTGGAGGCAGAAACTTGGCGAATAAGCCGCTGAAGTTGATATTCTAAGGCTGCTTAACTCGGAACAATGGCGGTTTAGGGTTTGGGGTTTAGGGTTTGGGGTTTAGGATTTAGGGTTTAGGGTTTGGGGTTTAGGGTTCAGGGACTGGGGTTTGGGGTTTAGGGTTTGGGGGTTTAGGGCTGCTTATCCGGAAGAGCATGCTAGCTTCCTGCATGCGGACAGAAACAGGAAGAAGGTTATTGTCACGCAGACCGGCATACTACTGGTTCTGTTCTTACTGTTACTGTTCTTACCATCCTTAGTCTGATGACTGTTCTTGCTTTGACTATTATGCTTCCTTTGAGTGCTACAATAACTACGATGACTATTATCACTATCCTTCCTGTCACTACTTTGAGTTCGATTACTACTACAACTATTACTACGACTAGTATTCCTACTAATATTCTTACTATTGTTACTCTTGTTACAGGAATTTCTGTTGTCACTACCGTTGCCTAAAACCTAAAACCTAAACCATAAACCCTAAACCCCAAACCCTAAACCCTAATTACTACTTCTATGCCAACTTTGACTACGCCATGGCGCCTTGACTCCGCTCGACAGCTTCGCAGCATCCTGACCACGAGAAGGAGCCGCTTTGGGGCTTGTAGGTTTAGGTTCAGGGGGTTTAGGGTTTAGGGTTTTGGGGGTTTAGAGCTCAAGGATTTAAAGTTTGTGTGTTTAGAGTTTAAGGTTTAGGGGTTTAGATGTTTATAGTAGAGGTTTGGAGTTTATGGGATTGGGGGTTTAGAGGTTAGGGGTTGTTGGTTTAGGCGTCAGGTTTGGGTTGCAGGTTTAGAAACGTGGGCTTACGGTGGAGGGTTCCAGAAACCGTGGGCTGAGCAGTCCTAGCAGACAAAGGGCGGACTGGAAATCCCACACAGTCCGGTTTTACCAAGAGGCCTCAGGGAATTCAGACAACAGCTTACTGGCTTGGCCCCTAAACCCTTTTGAAAAATATTGGTATATAGGGTCCCCTATTAAAGCAAATAAGGAAGTAATCAATGTGCCAGTACCCAGCTTAGAAATCGGTCCCAAGCACTGTTCAGAAGGTGACTGCTGTAGAGGTTCAGGATCCAATCAGCCTGAAATCGAAGACTTTAAGTTTGCACCCTTAATTTGGGGACCAAATCCCCTGAACAAGGGCCATGTTCCGTGGTTTAGGTACCCCAACCCAAGGTTACGAACCCTAAGTAGGGTACAAAGGAAAACTCCCTGAGCCAATAATTCCCTCCCCCATTGAAAAATAAGTCCCTCCCACTACGCGTAGCAATGGCCCGGCCCTCTGACATAGCATTATCCATTTGCTGGAGTGTTTGTTGGTAGGTGGGAGGGGCGGAGGGTTAATATTGGGGGGATGTATTGATACCTTCTTCAGCGAACCGCACGTCTGGAATTGTATCCCCCTCCCACACAGGAGATACAAAAAGCACATGCCCGCTATTGGGGTTGTTGTTAGGCAAAATCCTGAATGACCCTAAGTACACCACAGTATCATGATTCCCCTGCGGTTAGCAATAAACTGTCATGCAAGATTCTGTCCAACCCCGTAGGAAGTGGTTACAAAGTCTTCCAGAGCCCAATCGTGTTATGTCAAGCGTCATGCTCGGCTATTACGTGGAAGCGTTTACCGCTTCGTGCGTTGCCGACATGTGGGTTTTTTTGTAGTTTAGCTTACAAGCACCGCGGGCTTCTGCAGTCTTGTTGTGAACAAGAAGAACCTTTATCCTGCGCACATCCCCGACGACAGGCAGCAGATCTGGAAAATTACGTGATGCAGATGCAATTCTGGGAAGCTGCCTCTGCGAAGGCACATTTCTGAGGATTTCCGGTTGATGAGAGAACTTCTTGCTCAACCTCTTATGGCCCATGTCACTTGTCAGAACACTCTATGGTCATAGAGTAGTCCCTTATAAGCGGGGCTGATGCCAAGCAACGTTTCCAACAGCATTTGGACTTAGCAAATGGCACATGCCCATCAAGGTTCGGTGTTCTCTACAATACCACCACCATCGCCTCTGCTACCAATACCAGTGACTACCAGCACCACACAACATCACCACAACCACCGCCACCATCACCACCACCACCACCACCACCACCACCACCACCACCACCACCGCCAGTTAGCTTTGCCCCCAAAATCATACCTTTACTCCTACGGCTCCATGTTCATCGCTCCATGTTCATCGTTGCTGTTGCCATAAACATAGCAGCCTGGCTCAAAACTTTTTTTCCAATACCTTGACGCCCAAGCGCATCCATTCCAAGCTGTTCGCTTCCGCCAGCGCAGCTGCTTGAGACCAAGTCTGCTAGACCACTGAAACTATGGCTAGAAGCATGGACCCGTTTCGTGCAGGTAATTACATGGGAGTTTTCAAAAACAGTGTCTCCCTCATTCACCTCAAGAAAACTAATTCAGGCTCCATGCACCTAGACTGTAAACCTCAGGGTTTAGGGTTTTGGGTTTAGGGTTTGGAAATTTGGGGTAAGGGTTCGAAGTGATTGGGTTTTTTTAGGATTCGGGTTTAGGCTTTGGGGTTTAGGGTCTCGAGTTCGTGGTGTAGGCTTGAGGGTTTACGGTATCCATTGAAACGCGTCGGTAACGTCTGGACTTCAGGGTCCAACACTTGAGACTAAACAAGGCATGACCCCAGGCGTCTTTTATGATGAGAACTTGGCTTACTAGCATTACGCAGGATTTTCAACATCTGCGAGCAATAGACAGTACAGCTCCACGAAGCAACCTATCTTCCAAAGACTTCACTTTGCCGCGCATCCACTGCCGTTTTGGGTTAAGGGTTTAGGTGGAGGCGGTACTCACATGTAAGTTTCTAGAAGTAGGGATCCACTCTATATACCCCAAAATCCTTTAACCAGCTATAAAGGCCCGCCATGATCTTGGGGTCTTCCTGATAATCGGAATCTGATACAAGAATAGAACTTCTCAAGAACAAGTATTAAGTCAAAAGAACACCTAGAAACTAAACCCCCAAAAGGCTTTAAACCTTGCAATCTGATTGGTTTAGGGTTAGGGTTTGGGGTGTAAGGTTTAAGCCCCAAACGGGCACCTACTTCTCAAACTGATCGCATGGCACAGGCCCGCCAACACTCAGATGCCTGCTCCAGGGCTGTGGAAGGCTTAGCTTCTATACATATCATATATAAGTATATTGGGGTTATATAGGGATAATGGAAAATAAAATGGAAACTACTATAGTATATTGGGGTTATATAAGGATAATGGAAAATAAAATGGAAACTACTACCATGTGTATCTGTATCTATCTATATATCATATATAGATAGATACAGATAGACATGGATATGGATACAGATATAGTGCACGTGTGTATATATATATAGACACATACACATGAACATGGTGGTCTGCATATTTCAGCGTGCATATTCACATATACAGGTCTATGTATATATATATATATCTCTCTCTCTCTCTCTATGCGCAGATGGTTCTGTGTTCTGAGTTCAGGGCTTAGGGGTGTGCATATTCAGAGGGTTTGAGGTGCACAAGCAAAACACGCATGCATGCATCCTGAGCCCAAGGCCCTCAACCCTAAATCCTAAACCCTAGACAAGGCTTGGGAATTCCTAAACCCTAAACAACTGAACCCTGAANNGTTAAGGGTTAAGGGCTTAGGGATTCCAAGGCTTCAAATCTTAATGAATCCCCTCCCACTCACATATAAAACCTAGGGCCTGGATGCAGTCTGAACCCAGTGCCCAAAATAATCCTGCCCCACCCCTACACAGCCCCCTGCCCAAGGGAATATGAGCATGCGTTGGCAAGGGGGGGTTGGAGGTTTGGTTCTCAAACCGAGGGGGATTATTCCAGAGCGCGTTAGCACTGATGGCGGGGCATCCCTGCGGTCCTGGTATAGGGATAATGGAAAATAAAA